AGTGATAAAGTTGTTCATTCTTACTAATTTTGTTATATATATTTATATATGGACAGGTCTTAAATGCTGCTAAGGAATTTCTTGAGATCAATTCTAAACCAGCCACTGTTATCCAGGTACGACTTTCTTGTTTGGATTATTCCACTTATTGCCAATTATTATTGATTTAAATATGGCGAATTTGTCCGACTCTTATGATCATGTAGGCTGCTATTCCTGACATCTTGGAGAAAACTCCTAAAGAGTTCTTTGATAAGAGGGGGAGTTTTTTGAAAGATAAAGTAGATTTTGCATATTCTAAGCTCAAAGACATACCTTGCCTCACTTGCTACATGAAACCTGAAGCATGCACCTTCTTATGGGTATTCTATCATTACTGCATTTTTTTAACACTTCCAAATTATTAATGTCATTTTGAAACAATTTTTATATTTTTTCTTTCTCTTCTTTTCGCAGACCGAGCTGAACTTATCATGCCTGGACATTGAAGATGATGAAGATTTCTGTGAAAAGCTTGCTACTGAAGAAAACCTTGTCCTTTTACCAGGTAATTAATCAAGGTTTAACGGTTTCGCATTTATACACAAAATTATATCATATCAAATAACTAGGAATCCCACATCCAAAAATGTGATGAGACTTATCAAATAATACATAATTAAGGGAAATGAATTGGTATAGTTTCATTGTCAATTGGTTTTAAGTTCGAATTTCATACGACTTATATATAGTTTCATGGTTATTTAACGTAAAAACATACATGTTGTGTATTGGATTGGTTAGGGATTGCATTTAGTTTGAAGAACTGGGCGAGGCATTCTATTGACATGGACACTCCGACATTGGAGGATGCCTTTGAAAGATTGAAGAGTTTCTGTGAACGCCATTCCATTAAAGGTGAATCAGCTTCACTCACAAACGGAAATGGCGTCAACTAAAGGGTCAATAAGTACCTTTACTAAGTCTTTTTATATGTGCTATAATAATAAATGGGTGTTTTATTGATTTCGGATAAATCATGAACACTTTCCGTATTTGTAAACAAATAAAATTGGTGTCTTTATCATCATCATTCGTGTAATGTTCTCTCATAGTTTGCAATGTTTTCTGTATTTCTCTACTTAAAATAATAAAATGAATAAATTTCAATTCCATTTCATGTTTGAATAGTTTTGGACTTTTGTGTGAAGATGCCATTGTAATAACTGTTTTGGCAACAACTAAAATGTTTAGTTAACCAAACCAACGGAAAGATGCCATTAGTACTTCAGACCTGTTTTACTTCTTGTGTGTTTGAGGATGAATCAACTGGAGCTAATTCCATTGTTCGAGCTATTTCGACAAATGTTACAAGGGATGGACGCTTTAATACATACCTAGTCTGTGGAGGATCAACTTGGTTACATGATAGACTTTTCTGGGAAGTAAGATCGTAACATCTTTTTGACCCTTCTCTTTGGGTGAGGATATTCTTGTTGATTTTCTTCATTTTTTTTGGGAGCTTTCATGTTTGGCTATGTTTTGTGATGTTAGCTCTGTTTTTGGGTTCATAACTTCTCTGTGGTTCATCAATAAAATTAATCAAACTATTAAAAAAAACTCCTCAAAACTAAACTCTAAACCGAAAATATCAAACCGATAATAATAAAAAGTATTATTC